TCAGTTTACCCGAACGCATCACATTGTTAGGAAGACCACTCTGTATGACATGGATGTGGACCCCAGCTGGAAATACGCAGCTATTGGCTGTCAGGATCGTAACATCAGGTTGGTTCAGTTCTTGTCTTGAAAATATTGTTGCAATCGTGAATGATCAAGGCAGTTCCAGTGCCATCATTGTTCCTTGGTTCTTTGCTGCAGCGCTTTGATCTGAGGTCTCACCTCAAACTCAGTGAGGTTGTTTCTTTTATCAGCAAGGGGTCAAAGTGTAGATATGCAGAAATGTCCATTGGGCTCTTGGCTCCTCACTACATTGCTCTGCAGAACAGTCTTTCTACTGGGGAGAGAAAGTGTGCTTTCCTTGGCAAGCACACCATTGAGCTTTGTCCATTGGGACAAGAACTTCTGTACTGTGGTCATTTTTGCTTTTAAAAATATGTCCAGTAAGAAGCTCTGAGGCCCTATAAAGTAGCTGGGACTGAAGGAACCTAAAACTAGGAGCTAGATGTGACTGTCTTTTTACAAGTGGAGTCCATTCTCTGTTCCCTTTTAATCCATTTGTCAATCTGTCTGCTTCTACATTCAAAGCAAAGGAGACTCCCTGTAGTTGTGTGTCTTCTGTTGTGTCTGGGTGAGATGCTTAGAGTTCTGGACATAATTTGGTGCTACTGCTAAATGTCATTTGTTTTTTGTATTCTTATGTAAATAAAGTGTTTTGCTCTCTTAAACATTACATCTTTTAGTATGAAGAAACCACAGGTATTTTTATAGGAGGTGGAACTGGATGGAGCTTATTACCAGCCATTCCTGATATATAATGGTTAGCTGTTACAAGGTATCACGAGGTTCATTCCCTCTTACTTGACCCCTCTGCAGTGTCCTGATACTGTACTTACTCTTGATCAAAAGCTTGAGAATCAAGCCTGAATTTTAAATCAGATAATCTACTTGGTACTGAATCATCCATTCTTGGGCCTCTACATTACTTTACTGATTGTTTCTTAAACATTTAAATGGTGATTGTAGTTTGCAGAGGCTGCAGCTCCCAGGGGTGAGGCCTGTCATGAGGAGCGGAAAGAGTGAAGGTTCCTGGTGACAAAAGCCACAGAGCAGTACGTGGTTAACATGCGTGATGTTGTCTTACTTTTCCCTCAGGGTTTTCAACATAAGCAGTGGGAAGCAGAAGAAGCTGTACAAGGGATCCCAAGGTGAAGATGGCACCCTCATCAAAGTAAGCTGTTTTCTTTCTTCTTCCCTTTTTATTTTTCCTTCTCTTCTGAGTGCACCTTAGAGCTCAGAAAATGATATGTGAATCTGGACGTAATGCTGTTTGTTTTGTTTTGTTTTGTTTTTTACCCTTCTTGCCTGCTCTCTACTTTGCTTTTCCTTATCCTGCTTCTTCTTCCTTGTACCTCTGTCCTTAAGGACTGGAGGACTGGTAAAGTGTTTGGATTTCAACAGGCTAAAATAGGAAGAATCAGTGGATGATCATAACTTCCCTGTCCCCTGTCTGAAGCGAGACACAGGGTCATGCTGTAGCAGCAAGCAGAACTGCAACAATATTCATCAGGAGATAATTCAGTCTGTTTACTTTAGTCCTTGTATTTTTGCTTCAGATATCTCATTGTGACTTTCTTGATTGTTGCTGTCTGTTTTTGAAGGTGGAGTCACCTATTGACTGGAGTTTGAGAAGTGTTGTTGCCAGAGGGCAAATACAAGTGGCTTTGTATGTTGATGAAATTAAACAGCATCTGCCTTAAAAATCTCATGTTCTCTGGGCCTCATAGTGCTGAACAACCCCAGTACTGTTTAGATAGTCTCTTCATGTTTCACACCTGCTGAGTATGTCTAGGCTTTGGAGCAGCATGCATGCATGCATCTACCACTTTGTCCTTCCCCTGGTAAAACAAGTGTTGTTATAGGGTTGGTGCTAAAAGTGATGCTGGTACATTGAGGTATGGAAGAGTTGTATCCTTGTCTTCAAAGGGGAAAGACCAGTTGACAGAACCAAAATATTTCTCCAATTACCAAACAAGCTTCTTCATTGTGCTTATTTTCACTATTAATTTTTATAGTTTTTAAAACATCTTTTTCTATTCAGCTTCACAGGCTATCAATATCATTGATTGGTATAAATAACTGGGTCAAAAAATGGAGGGGAAAGCAAACAGCTTTGTTCAATGTCATCTTTTCTGTTTTAAAGAAGAAGATAAATTCTCTTTCTCTGTGTCTATTAAATTCCTGAGAAGCTTTTATAAACTCAGATACTTGATTATGTTTTTTTTGTTCTCAAATCGTGAAATGTTGCTTGAAGCTGGATTCTTTGTTTTTAATATTTGTTTCTTTCATGTGTAGCACAAGTGGGGAATATCAATTGTTTTTAATATTGCTTTGTTTATTTTTAGGACAGTTATATAACAAAAGGATCATAATTGTCTCTGGAATTTAAACTTATTTGGCATGTTGTTCTGAGATCATTGCATACATTTAGCAAGTAGAAACCCAAATAGTGACATGCGAAGCCAAAGATACTGCCTAGCCAAAGAAACCTATCATTATTTAAATATAATAATTTCTTAAGAGAAACACAGACTTTTGCTCTCAATTCCTCTAAGTTCTACAAAGTATAAAGCAGAACATTTGCTGAGAACAGCCGTATTTACTATGTGGTGTAGACTTTAGTCCTACTGAAGTATTTGATGCAAAGCCACCAACCTCCAGATCTGGTACTGGACCACATCTTTAAAGATAATTTTTCTCCGTTATCACTTAACTCTGGCAGCTCTGATGTTTTTTAAAACTTTCTTTTTTGTTTTAACCTTATGGTAAAAGAAAATAAGACCCTCCAGTACTGTGAAGGAGGTAGGAAAGAGAAATATGGGCCTGTGTATTGGTTATGGTGCCTTCAGAGTCATGAAGGCATTTAATGTAAGTACCTTTAGTCTCTGATTGGGTTGGAAATAGTTTTCTAGTTAGTCAGTTTGTTTTACTGGTTTACTGAGACTGGAAATTTGTCCTGTGATACTGGCAGCCTGGTACTCAATTGAAGTCCAGTGGAGCTATTTGCATTTCATTCTGTCAACAACTGTGACTGTTTTTGGAATTCTGGACCATTTTCATGCAGTTTGAAAGAACTTTATCAACAAATCTTTGCACTTCTCTTACTTCCTTAACAGGTGCAAATGGATCCCTCTGGGCTTTATATTGCAACCAGTTGCTCTGACAAGAACCTCTCCATTTTTGATTTCTATTCGGGCGAGTGTGTTGCAACCATGTATGGGCACTCAGGTAGGGCATATAAATTTCTGGAAATGCTTTTTTCTCCTGGGGACTATATTACTACCTAATACTAGTCAAAGCTTTCTGAAGGTTTCTCCCTCCCGAAGTTTACCTAGAGGGTATTTTGGACTAGGTTATATTTGAATTATAGCTGTAGTTTATTTCACTCCAATTTAAACCCTTCTAGAATCAATTTTGCACACGTGCATGCCTCTTAGGCTATGTATTTATTTGCACAATTAGTAGCCTGTATAAGGTAGTCTTTGTTTTTTTAGTGCATACCATCAGCTCTTGCCATGCAGAGGCTATTCCATTATAGCCAAGAAGAAACTTCAGTCTTCATGCTTATTTTGCCTTATGATACCCTTTGTATTCTTTGTTAGATGCTTATGGTAATTGGGACATACTGATATGTCAAGTGTTGGCTTTAATCTGTCTACCTGTCTTCAACTTGGCAATTCAAATTCTATTTGGCTAATTATCTGTTCCACTTATTGGAATAATTAAAGAAAGGCTTATTAATTGTTCTTTATTTCAAACAGAAATTGTGACTGGGATGAAATTCAGTAACGACTGCAAACATCTGATCTCTGTTTCTGGTGACAGGTAAGAGGGGATTGCTTGTTTGTGATAAAACTTTGTCATCTTACACTAGAATTAGTTCATCCTGAAGGAAGGTTGATTTATTTTATGAGTAATGTTTTATGAAATCCAAAGAAACATCAGAGCTTTCTGAAGCCAATATGAGTACTGTTGGCAATGGTTATCCTTCCATAAAACAAGACATCCATGTGAAGTGTTTTGGTTGTGGTTTTCTGAGTACAGGTACTGTTCCCTGCTAGAAAGGAGACAGAGGATGTGGCCTGTTGTCTTACCACCCCCAGGTCTATAACGTAATGCAGTGTAATGGATTTTGTGATATTACAAACAGTGGTGCCGAAACTTTGTCTCTTAGGCTAGAGTTTTCATCAGGTGAATGGGCCTTTCTAGCAGAAAAAGGATTTGGCTTGTCCCCAGTCTTTCTGCTCCTGTTGATGTGGTCCTTTTCCCTGCTCCCCTGAGTCAGGGTCTTGCAGCTGACTCCTCACTAAGGTGATGTGGATCACTAAATCAGCCCTCCACCTCCCCCCAGCTATAGTTTCTACTGATTTATTGAGCTAAATCAGCTAATCATGAAAACTGTAAGTAATCACTAGATTGAGCCTAGCTGCAGAATAAGGACTTATTTTGTTGTAGATATCTGATAAATTCCAGAAATGTGAAAGGTTTGAGATACTCAGTTATTCTTGTGATTTTAGTGCAATGTTCCCTCGTTGACATGAGTGTCATTTTCTCCACTAGGGGTGTGGAGGAGGTGGATGAGAAGTGAGAAAGGGATTCATGAAGAACTTAGCTGTAAGGAGAATAGAAATTGTGTTTTCTCAAAAGAAACCAGAGGAAAATAGTTTGTTCAAACACTATAGCATGTGTAAAGAATGAAACAGAATACAAACAAAAACGGAGATGAAGAAGAGCACAAGGACTGAGAGACTTGGGAGAAAATTACTGCAAGGGAAAAAAAAAAAAAAGTAAAAGGAATAGTAGAAGCATACTTATGCAGAGCTTCATGTCAAATCGCAGTGTATTTACAAGTTCATGCTGTTTGCTGCAAGGTTTGATTGCTGTGGGGGTGGGATAAATGAACAAGCCATATTTGCTTTCTGAATTTGTTTATTGCTTTTTGGTGTTGTCTTGGAAGCCGATTATGTTGCTGTTACATTCAAGAGAGCTGCTGTTTGAGGAGAAGCAGCTGGCTGCCTAGGGTTGCCATAGCGCCCAGATGCAGTGCCTCACAACTTTCTCTTTGCTAAAAATCTGAGGAGGGGAATGACAGCTGTTGATGAGAAGCTTCTGTGTCTGTACATGACTTGAATAGCTGGGAGTGACGTTCCTGAACTTTGTCACACAAACAAGTAGGACTGAGGGGTGAGAATTGTCAGCTTTTTGGGAATATATCCACAGGCTGTTTTCTTGTTTGTTTGTTTCCTTTTGGTGTAGCATGAAAATGAAACCTTTTAAAATACCTTTATATGAGATAAAGTAAGCAGAGAAGATATTGTTGCTTTTGGCATTTTTTCTCTGGTCCATGAGACTAAAAATTCATGATTGTTGTTCAAAATGACAGAGCTGATGAATTTTTGCAAGCGAGCAAAGAAAAAGGGAAAGGTTCTTGTTGAAAGTTCCTTGGAGTACCAATGTATATGGTGACACTGCCAGTTCTTGAAGATGGATTCCAAAGTAGCATGCAGGATATGATAAGTGATAGCAGTAATACCGCCTCTGTTTCTACATCAGTATAAGTACATCCAGCTAGACAGGAAAGATGGGTGAGATGAAAAGAACTAGTTAGCACTGAGATTATATTTCAAAGAAAATACTGGTTGCTTTGTTTTGTATTACCTGAAGATTAAATACTATATTCTTTAGTATGATGTGGAAATTTTTTTTTAAGTCAGATTTCTGAAGAAAAGGAGATCAGTGAGATGATACTGTTTGCTTCCTTTTCTTAAACACTTTTGAAAAGCTGGTCAGATAGAGAAATAAAGGTACAAGGCTAGACACGAGACTGAACAAAACTCTGCAGTTACTCTAGTCCATAGCGAACCTTTGCCAGGCAGGTTTTATCTTTTTGTCATAAGGCATGTGGTGGGATTAAGTTTCCATGATGCTGCTACTCTGTGTTTCTCCCTCTCACAACTCAAAAGTCTTGTTTGCCTTTGCAAAGGGAATTGATAATTTCAATAAAACTGAACTGAGGCTTAAACCCAGCTTCACCCACCTTTCCTTCTTTCAGTTGTATCTTCATCTGGCGCCTGAGCTCAGAGATGACCATCAACATGCGGCAGCGGCTATCTGACATGAAGCAGAGAGGGAAGCAGGCAGAAAAGTCTCCTCCACACAAGACAGCTGGACTTATGAGGTGAGCAGAATAGACTGAGTGGAGCTTGTTGGCTTTTTGGGGCTTAAAGTGAAAAGTATGGCACTGGGTTCAACTGAAAAGTTTCTTCTGTTTCCACTGATACTATTTGAAAAGTTCTGACTGTTCTCTTGTGATATTTGTGCCTTTCCTTTGGATATAGAAACCTGACTGTGGTCTTCCAGACAGGCTTACCTAGTGTTGCTTCACTGATTGCAGTATGCATATAATGTTACTGGTGTCTTAATTTAGTTTACTGATGTGGTCAGAAACTTCTAATAAGCAGTTTACCTAGCAGTGCTGAGATTAGTACAGGGCGTCCCACCAGGGAAGAATTGCTGCTTCATGAATAAAGTTCTGTGAGTCTGGGCTTAAATGCAATTTAGAAATCATTTTCTGCAGTGCCAGTACTGACATACGCCTGTGAGCTGTATGAGTTAGCCACGTTGATTATAATTCTGAAAGAGTTCTTACAGTTGTGCTGTTTCTTTAACTATTTTCAAGAGGCCTTGGAGAAAGTATCCTTTAATTATAAATAATAAACATAAAAATAATTTCCATGAGAAGTTCTTGCCAGCTGAATCATACTATTACTTCTGCTCAGTAAACAACATATCTAAAAGCAAACTACCACAGCCTACAAACTGAATAGATCTAAGTTTATCTGGTGATATTTTTTCTTTAAAAAGTCGTGCTTAAAAACAAGCCCTGTTTTTATACAGAACATGAGTGGCAGAGAACTATGAATTACTAGTGTAATGTGTGTAGTTTCTCTGTACTTAGTATGTAGCTGAGACTCATTTGACCAAAACAATGCAGGAAGGGGTGCTAAACAAGTGGGATCAAAGTGGGGGAAAAGAAAAAAGGATAAAACAGCTTTTTGATGCTATGTCCCACAGTTTTCTTCTCCAAATATCTACAATTTGAGTTTTGGGTATAAAGGTGCCGAAGCATTGGAAGACTTACCATACTGGTTGTTAGAGTATCACAAGGAACTTCCCACTCCCTTAAGGAGCAAGTAGCATTTGAACAAGTCTGTCTGCATAGTTTCATTTGGGAAGGTCTTGATCTGCTCATTCTTGAAACAGCTCTTGCCTAGGAATTGTTTTCAGTAATGATATGAGAGAACTCGTGAAGCCTTTTTTCTAGCCAAAATTCTGGAACTGTCAAGCTATGTGCTTTTTATAGCAGACTCCATTATTCCAGCAGCTGCAGCCTTACCCTACTGAGGCTCAGCCCGTGACAGATAATCCCAGTTCTCTTGTGCATTAGGTGATACTTGCTTCCGTCACACATGCTTGCTAAAGGGCGGTGTTAGTGCCACGCCAACTTCAGCACTTTATTAAACTTGTTTGGTAACCTCTTTGCAAGCTAGGAATCGTCTTGTTTGGTCAGCTTTGAAAGCTTGTTTTCGGTTTTGATCGACTGCTGTGGTCTAGGGAGATCAACAAAAACGTAACTCCAGAGCATTTTGGATTGGGACTGGATATGGAGGAAGAGCCTATTGGACCAGCATTACTGAGGTGGGAGAAGAGAAACAAATGAATCTGGTTTTGTAGATGCTTTGTATCTGTTCCGGTTGTGTTCCGAGTCTGAATGGGTTGGTTGCAGTGGTGTTACACTTAGTGATATAAAACCTGATGTCTCAAAAAGACTCACAGTAGCATAAGAAAGCTCTGAACCTGATAGTGTGTCATTTGTTTGACTAGGTTTTGTCTGGAATGGTATTGCTAGAGTTTGATGGGCGTAGTGATGCATTCTACTAGTTCCATAATGTGAGAGTATGGTAAGATGAATAACCAAAATAATACTGGGGAAGAAGAATGGACTGAGGAGCAGTGGGGAGCTGGAACAAAAGCACTCTCTCTGTCCAGCTGCAATTGACAGGGCAGGGATTAACCCAGGTGAAATATCTCTGGAATGTAAACACAAAACATGCCTTTCTGGGTCAAACCACTGGTTCATAAAGTTCAGTATTCCGTGTCTATTTAGTGAAAGACTTGAGAGCCTTGTTATATGGACCTTTGCAGTGTGCTCACCTTATGCTCAGTTGTTGCATTTGGGGTGTTAGGTGCATCTGTGTGTTCCCTTTAGTATTTGGTCATTGTTCACTGAATTTGTATAAATCTCTTTGGAACTTTGTAATATTCTCTGACTCTGCACCCCACATTGTGATAAGATACAGGAGTTCACTTCTCTCTATGGGAAGAAACATTTTTTTCTGTTTTAAACTACACTTCTGCTAGTTTTGTTGAAAGTTCCCTGGCTCTGTGAGCTTTAAACTATAGTTCTGCATCCAGCTATCTGTCATATCCAAGGTTTTGCAATCCTCTCTCATCACCTCTCCCCATCCAACCTTTCCAAACGAAATCCTAGCTTTTTTTAATACCTCCAAGAACTTCTAGAGAGACTAAAGCTGCTGCTCTGAATGGTTTCTGCCTCCTTTGATGGGAAATTGATTTATTTTGGGACTAATCTGACCTGTATGACCCACAGTTTTCCACATACCTTCCAGTTCTCTCTCTGGCTGAAGAATTGCTGATGTATGCTTTTCTCTTATCTACTGAACACGAGAAGCTGTCATTGTTCAGGATGAAGAACTTGTACTCAGCTGATGTTGCTGATACATTTTGGTTTTGAGACATCTGAGTTTTCAGCAAAGGAGTCATGTAGAATCCTTTTAATACAGTTTTGATTTTGATCCAAGTATGCATTTATTGTTTAGAAAAGCTTGTCTCAATTTTTTGGAAGTTTTAAATTGATTTTATTATGGAATGTTTAGAGGGATTATAGCCTTGTTTATACATTTTGATTTTAAAAGTCACTTTTTCTGTGACTGGTTGAAGCACTAGTATAAATAGCAGATAGAAATGGTATCCAAATTAAATTATCTAAAATTAACATGTGCTTTCGAAAAAGTACAGTGTGCCCTTGGATCTACTTGGAAAGAGCTGCTCCTTATCAAATGCTCAGTGGGACTTTAGTCCAGTCCAGGAAAGCTGTGCAGTTTCCATGTCTCAGAATAGATTTGGCTTTTGATGCCAGATCAAAAGTGGTGTCTGAGTTGAGCTGCCTTGGTTTTAACACCAGGGAAGCTGTGAAGGCAGCAGCAGCACTGTGATCTTTCTGTCGGGAGAAGTTGGGTTACTTTCATTTTAAAACTCTCAGGCATTTGACAGAGGGTGGAATCTGCTGGTGTGCTCCACCACATAAGATGTTAAAGTTTGATAAATAGGCATCTAAAGCTGACAATTTAAGTAGGGCAGGATCAGAGTGGCAGTACTGATAACATGTCTGTTTAAATGGGTAGATGACATTCTTGTGTTTTGGTCTTGTGTTATTTTAAAAAAAGAAAGAAGGGTTATATTCAGGAGATGTAAAATAATACAGAGTGCCCTAGCATTAGATGTTTTAAAAGTAGAGCTCCATGTGGCACTTACAAGTCTGTGTTATATGAGTGTCCTAATCACTTTCTAACTGAAAGTCCAGCCCTGCCATTGACCCTTTGCTGTTAGACCCTGCAGAAACCACAAAGTACAAGACCCAGGCATGGTGCTAGAAGGGAGTAGCTCCTTAGCAAAGGAGTGAAACATCCAACCAGTTAGATGTTAAGAGGTCTAATAATTCAGCCCTTCTTTCTTCATAAACTGCTCATAGAAGCCTGATAAGCACAAGCAGAAAGCTGCTGTCGGAGTCACTGATACAAAATTGATACTGCCTGCCATATATAAATATAGTATGCCTTGCAAGATAAATCGCCTCATAGCTTGCACTTCATTGGAATTCCCCTGCTCAGACACAAGAACATGAGAATGACAAAATGGACGCTTAAGACCATGGAAAAGATGAAGAGACTGACAAACTCAAATGTCAAAAATAGATAGTACAGCCAACATGAAACTGTTTCACTTGAGGACTCAACAGACTATGCTGTCAGTTCATTATTCTTTTGCCAGCACACCTTAAAGCTCATCTGAAAAGGCTGGATAATTATTGCTCAGCCACTCCTAACAAAATGCAAATTAAAGTCATGCCACTATGTGGGAAGAGGAAAAAATTATAATACCTTAACGAGTGTTAAAACTATGTTTTAATATTGTCTGCTATCTGTCAGCTGCAGGAGAACTTGGTTCCTAGCCAGGCTACTCTGCATCTGGTAGATGAACTATATTTATCTCATAAATAATGCTTGGTACTCAACACCCAGCAGCAATATCCTATAAGCGTCACTAATGATGAGTTTGGCACTGCAGCTTAAGGCCATAAAGTGGATGCTCCTCAAATTTATTTTGGGGATTTTTCATTTGTTTAATTATTGTCCAAAGTGGATTAAATCATTTGGTTCTTTTGAATGAGGGGGTGAGGGGAGGGACAGGAAAAAGGGAGGAGAAAAAAAAAAAAAAGATAATAGATTGGTACAGGTAAGTGTCCTTACTTGTTGGGAAATTCTGTGCTTGTGTCTCTGAGGTCTGTGTGGAAATGCTTGTTTGATCTACTTCGATTAAAGATCTTCCCAAAGTATGTTTTATGTTATTCCTTGTGCCTTACGGTTAAAAAATGCAGCATGGCACTCTTACAGTGTGTGGGTTGTGCACCATGCAGAACCTGCATGAAGTCCTTGATGTGAACTGACTCCTATGTGATAATTTGCCATATATCTAGTTGCTGTCACACAGGGAATATGTCTATGACATTTTTGATGTGTAAAATAATTCCGGAGAGAAAATACTTAAGGGTGGGAAAAACACTTGACTTTCAAATATGCTGTACTGTCCTGGCTCTGAAAAGGAAAGCCAAGTTTCATTCTACTTAAACTGCTCTGGCTCATTTACTTTTGCTCTAGCTTCTGTGATCCTTCCACGCATAAGAGATAATTTCTATAGAAGGTTCAGCACACCATTTTGCAGGGTTTAACTCATGTTATTTCTCAAGGAATGAATTTTGCTAGAACTAGGAATGTTTGTTAGAGTTGAGACACCACCTGAGTGTTACCTGTAGTGGGGATAAGATGGAAAACTGTAGGATTTTAAACAGTGAGCAGTTCTTGAGACAGACTGTAATACTACTTCAAATTTCTGCTTCCCAGGCATGAATCCATCTCTGCCCTATCCTCTGTGCCAGCACTTTCATCAGACAGCGACAAGGATGGTGAAGATGAAGGGAATGACGAAGATGAATTAAGTGGGCTGCAGTCTTTCCATGTTCAGTCCAACTGCAGCACTGAGAGAGACTCAGGTAATAATGGAAGAGGGGCATGGGCAGAGATTGAGAGAAAATGTCATGTGTGTGAAGTGAGGAAGAGACAAGATGCTGAGTTAGGGACAATAAGGTGCAGGCAGAAAGAGAAAGTCCAAAACACAAATGAGTGGTTCAGCAACACTAGGTAATGTTGCCAATTCCAGCATCTAAAGAGGGGTGTATTTCAGAGCTCAGTTGTTAAACTGCCAAGTTTCCTCCTAGTTCCAGCTGCTCAGGCAGTTTTTGCATTGGTGCCCTGGGGCTTGGTTCTACTGTCCACAGAAATCCAGTGTACCGTAACTTTTTTTTTTCCCCCAAGCCTTTGATGGACCACTACACAGTGACAAATGTTCTGCTGAGTCAGATAAAACCATATGTCAAATTGTCTGTTAGAAATTTGATATAACGATTTGGTAGTGCACAAGAAAACGTTTTCACAGCAGTGCATGGTTTCAGGTGGTATAGGAATGCTGCAGTGGAGAAAGATGAGATAAGAGGTCTTTTAAAAAGGCAAACTGCTGGCCAAAGATATCAACCTGGTATATATCTTTTTCCCATTCCAGATCCAGATCTTACCCTCTCAAGAAGCCTTTCCCATTGGGAAATGAGGAGGGTGAGTTGCTAAACCTCCAAATTGTAGTTCTAATGATGGGGAAAGTGGAAAAGAAATTCTTACATAGATTAAAAGTTCTTCATTTACACTACTGGAAAAGGTACAGCTGCAGTGGGAAACCACTGAGAACCTCCTTGGTGAAGAATGATTTGGGGATGGTGAAATCATGCCTAGTTAAGAGACTATTTCACTTCAAATCTCTACATCTGTATCTTTCCATCAGATGTTGTGCTTTGGTCCCCTTCATTTCTGCCCTGCATGTCATATAGAATTGAAGCTCATCATATCCTTGGATGTGAGTGAGGCACTTAAATGCTGAGTCATGCAAAAAACGGCAACAAAACTGTAATCTTTACCTTAATACC